ACAATTCAACATAATTATTAAAATTTAAAATGTCTGTGGTAAAAAGCTACCTTAGCAAAGAATAAAATTTGAATCAAGACACCTACTAGGATCAGAGGTGGTATTCAGCAGGTTTTGACCAGTTCTGGAGAACTGGTAGCAGAAAGTTTGAGTAGTTCGGAGAACCGGCAAATACCACCTCTGACTGGAGATTTTACACTAGCCTTCCCCTGCCACGCCCACCAAGCCATGCCCACAGAACTGGTAGTAAAAAATTTTGAATTCCACCACTGACTAGGATGTATACATAAATTGTTATTAAAATGTTTCATGGAGGCAAAACAAGTACAGATAGTCCTAATGTGGCTACTTCAATGGAGCCTGCCCATTACTGTTACAAGTCATGACACAAACCCACACAATCACCTTCCTTCATGACCCCTAAAACTGCTCTCCCAGGGGCAGTTGTTAAGCGACCATGCAAATCATTAAGCACATCAAATGTTGCTTCAGGATGTGGGGCTGGCCTAGTGAAAACCCTGGGTCAGTTCTTTGCTTCTCCTCCCCATGAGGCTTGGACATGGTCCCCCTCACATTTCCTATAAGTCCTCTACCTACTCCTGACCCAGCCAACTCAGTCATCCAAAGGACCCTCAGGCTAGCTCAGAGGCTACTGGTGTGTGTAAATCTGTTGCAGCTTTCAAGACTCAGCCTGCTTCTCAGCTACCTCCAGGGGTCCAGCAATACCCAACTAACTTTTCTGTTTTCTATAGTTACTGACAGAGCTGCCCAGCCAATCCGAGCTCAGCTTTCCTACAGAGGAAGCCTTGTGGTAGTCTCGTGCCATTCTGGAAAGCTCCATTTTTAAGGAGGCTCCATTTTAAGGATTTGCCTATGCTATAATATATGAGAAAATTGGTACAAAACTGTTACGGTTCTGTCCTCCCCCCACTCCTCTGCAAATAGCAGCTTCAGGAATAGTTTTCATGATTCTCATATATCACAGGCAAAGGACATTCTGAGGAGAGGAATTTTTCAAAAGCAGTTCTCTTCCAAATGCTTCTGGAAATACAAAATATTTTCTTTACTCACATTTTAAAAGTTCCTTTTTCATTGATAATGCTTCAAAATGTTTTTTCAGCATTTTTTCAGACATATTTTTATGTGAAATCATGTTCAGGGATCATCAAATTTAAAAACAGAAACTATGAAGAGCTAGATGATATTTCATTAGATATTAAGGAAAGGTAAGGGCTAGGTTTAAATATGGTTACGTTTCATCCACAAAAGATACTCTGGAATGTATTTTTCTAACTGACTTCCAAGTCAATTCCCAAATAATGGCTCTTCCATATCTTTTTACATTCTTCGATTGCATTTCTAATTTTCTTCATTTGCATCAAACAAATTTTGAAGAGAAATGGAGGAGCAGTAGGGGTGGGGAAAAATTTCACAGAAACAGGCAAGGGAAGAGAAGGATTAAGAAATAATGAAAGCTGTGATGGAGGAGAAATGCCAATTAGATTATTATGATGCCAGTTAGATTATCATCAAATAATATACAATGTGGATTAAGTTTTGTATATGATTTTAAACAGGATCTTGCCCCTAACATTGTTTGAGAGCACTCTTTGCTCTTCAATGAAGCTTGACACCTTCTGTAGTATCCTTTTAAATTGTAGAGTTCAGTCCTGAACATATTATTCACTATGTTCAATGGATTTACCTCCTAATAAATAAATTTAGGGCTGCAGCCTCTTGATTAACTCACAGTCTAATGTTTTGTTTTTGTCCTCCTCATACTTAAAAAAAGAAAATTTGTGCAGCCTATCAGTTCTGTAATACAACCCTGCGCAAATGACCCTTCATCACTCCATTTGTCTGTTCTATTGATCTGTTTGTTTTCCAGTGCTTCTGCATGTGCCCTTAAACAACAAACCTTTGGGGGCAGGGCATGTGATATTTAAAAAACCAGCATTCAGTTATACATTGCTGCACAAATCATCTTGGTCTGCTGAGAATAATCTTATTGCTGAGAGTAATCTTATAATAATGCCACATCTACAAAATAAAGAACATATTTTATTTTTAAAATCAATAATTTTCATGTAGGAAGAAGAAGCTATAGAACTTGAGTTCCTGATGTTATGATTTTTAATATACTACCTATCCCCTAAGGCAGATCATCTTTTCTTAATATTTATTAGCAGCCATTTTGCTATATCCTGAGTCATTTATTTTATTCTAGCTGTTCAAATATATATTTCTGAATGAAATGTTGCAATATATTTCATTAGCAATCTATATTCATTCCTAACAGTTTTTTGTGTATGAAATGCAATTGTTATATAAAATGTTAGGTTTTATATAAAATGATAAATAAGAAGTAAATAAGTGGAACTGAGGCTGATGAGTTTGTACATTTGCCAATTCAAGGTGGCTTACAAGGAACAAATATTTAAAATGGAATCTGTTCAAAATAAATTGAAGATGTATAGGCTAAAAATGAAGATTGTTCTTTTACTATTCTGAATGCACATGTGAAAAATATTGTACCTTCTTCAACCTTTGAAATATAAGAACTGGGACGTTAGGATTGATCAGCAATTGCAAGATTAGGGTAAATACTATTAATAAAAAGGGGCTCAAAATCTGAACCCCCTCTTTTTTGCTGATTGCTTTTTCATTTGCTTATGAGAATAATATAGCAGAATTGATGCATTAGCTATATTTTCATTTCTGAAATACACGTTTTATCCTTAGTGTGTATCAGTATGCATATATCTTCCAGTGGTGGGATGCAGGCAGCAATAGGTTGGTTTTCAAGTACTATAGTCTCTACATTAGAAATCATAGCTACCTGGAATACTACTTGGTTGCTTTTTTGAAATACTGGCCAAATGCTAAAAACTGATCTGTACTGTCACTAATGCTGCATGGGGCATAGAGGTACAAAAAATGCTGTTATCCTAGCCCGTGCCTTCTCTGTTTTACTAAAAAAAAGTTACACTGCTTGACCAAAGCCATAATGGATAACGGAGATCAATATGGGCCTCCCCATGACATATGGAAGGCTGTTAACGTAGAATGGAGGAAGACCAAATGATGTGTTTTCTTAATTGTTGAATGTTGCAAATGTTGAACACCAGCTTAATTTTTCCCTTATTTAAATTAATTAGATTTCTGTCTGTCTAATTTGGGAAAAGACAATCAGTGGAGACATCCAACCACCAAGAGTTCAACAACAAGCAAATATTGTTACCACCATAGTGTTGGCTTAAGTGTCTATTTGGGATACTTAGGAGGAATAGCTGAAGGCCCATTGTTGCTGCCACTGTTTTGAAATATTTACCACAAGAAACTGCTATGTCAGTCTGTAAATCTAAGTTCTCCTACTTTTATGCTAAGCCTTGACTGTATAAGAACATATAAAACTTCATTTTACATAAAATATTCTCAACATAGAATCCTCTGTGCATTGATATAGGATCTGTTCATTTTAAAACATTGCATTGATAGTTTTTTTTAATAGGCCAGTTGATACATTATCAGAGAGCAACTTTAAAAAAACTATAGGTCAAAAGAGGACTGGCTTTGGCATCTTTTCAGAAGGCATTTGTGAATATAACCTCAGCCATTTGTTTAACTAAACACAGTGCATGCCTAAATACATTTTACCTGCTACTTCCCAGCTGAGGCCTGTCTCTAACAACTAGTGTATTTTGCAACAAGCTGCTCAACAGATGTCATTCTGGTTGAATAATACTTGTGCGTTGGCTAACATTACTCAAACTTTGATCACGTTAGTTCAGCACATCAATCTGGCATTGTGCTTTATACCAACATAACACTATAAGTAGAAATGCCTTTCAGGCTTAGAATAGCAAAGGAATGTTATTGAAATCAGTGGAGTTACAGATGAATGAATGGAAAAAGGAGAATACTGTTTATTTCATAATGCTGTGGTGTTGTGTTTTGGAATTAGAATGGAATGTAAAGAATCCAGTTTCCTGAATTTGGTTATTTTTACTTCATTGGTGTTGAAGAACAGTATTTATTCTTATTGCTGTTTTTGTAGATTTTATTATATGACTAACATTGGTTTCTTAGATAAGGAAACTCCTTGTCTTTATTTTGTAGTATGTATCTTAATTATTAAAATGATATTAATTTCTGTAATAAATAAAATAGGGAAATTATTTTCAGTGCTTTTTATTTCTGGACATATTAACTCATTTTAGGAAATACATAGTACTGAATTTTCTTATGTCAGTTACAATAATAGTCATGTCTGTTGTCTCTTGACATGGAAAATATTTTTTAAAAAGATTTCTTAACTGTTTAGGGAGTTTACCTTTATTCTCTGTAGGTTATCCTGCACTTGTGAAAACACCCATTCTGGAATTGTTGGTTTGTAATCTAAAACGCAAAATCTGGAAGGTTTTCTTGGTTACCCTATGCATTTTTGTGTATGTATATGTGCCTGTGTGTGCATATGAAAGTGTGTGTGAATGTGTGTAGGAGAGGGAGGGAGGAGAGAGAGAGAGAGAGAGAGCGCAACTATATTATGAACGAATCAGGTAAAGTTTCATTTGGTATGCAAAAACGCTAAAACTTTTGCAACAAAAACAACTTGAAACTTGTAGCACATTAAATATAGCTATTATGAATAAGGTTTCTTAAACTTCAGTTCAGTTCAACAGGTGCATCACTTTCTAAAATTGGGGGAGGGGAGAGAGAGAATGTGTGTTAAGAGAGTGTGTGTACTAGGTACATTTATCTCCAGGTAATTTCACAGTAAACTTGATGGATGTGTCTATAAAACATTTGGTATGGAAGTAAACAACTAAATTTTGATTCCAACTTTCATTAGAGATCTTAAGGATTGCTTTTTAAAAAATCACAATTTCTCAATTTGAGCGGCACATACAATTATTGTATTTAAATTACTGAACAGGAATGCTGGTTGTATAAAGTAAGTATTTGCATCCATTATTTATTTGTTTGTTTGTTTACGGCAGGTTAAACGAAATGTGTATGACCTGACTAGTATCCCTGTTCGTCATCAATATTGGGAAGGCTGGCCTGCTTCTGCTACAGATGACTCAGTAAGTCATAATTACTATAAATGCTGTAGTGTATGTTTCTAACCCATATTGTGGTTTTCTGTTGGAAATACTTGTTACATATGCAAATATGTTTTGTAATTTAGTACAATGTTTTTATGTAAAGCTTGACTCCAGTTGATTTCATACCTATGTACTTTTATTGGTAAGAATATTTAAGCAGTTTGCCTTATCTTCTTCCAGATCTTTTCTTTTTTTGTGGCATTTCCTGGTGGTCTTTTATCCAATTACTAAATATCCTGCTCTGTTTAGCTTTTCATGATCAGCCAAGAATGGCCAAATGCTCTAATTTATCTGACTAGTACCGGTAGTACATTAAAGCAACTGAGCCATTAATTTATGGCTTCTAAATTAGGAGTAAATTCTTAATGCAGATTCTTAGAATAAAAACAACCGTTGATATGCTTTGTGATAGGATTACAAGTCCTTGAAGACATGGTTTTGGCAGTGGGCTTGGGGACCCCATTTGGAGCTGATCAAGTGGCTTGCCTTATTCTGTTGTCACTGCCACTAGGGGGTTGAGATTGAATGGAGTTTAAATTGTGGATTTTTAATGATTGGTTTTTAATGTTGTACATCTCCTGGAGTCACTGTGTATGTTGTTGAATGAATGAATATCATTTAGTAAACTATTTTTTTCAATTGCTTTTGACAACACCAGATCAGTGAATCATGCAGTATTCTTTACCATGATGTTCCTGCAAGAAGATATCACAAGTGCTTAATCTTGTATATATCTATTGGGGAATATGTTTTATTAAATGTGAGACAACTTTTTTAAAAAAAGTCGTGTGTCATTTTATACTGTACATTTTTGTTAGCATTTATGTAGGTTTACATGAACACTTGTGAAAAGTGATCATAGGAATGAGGGAAAAGTAGTTCTTGTTCTTTTGTAGAAGGAGACAACTAGAACATAGATTAACAAGGATGAAAGGGACCTTGGAGGTCTTCTAATCCAACCCTTACTCAAGCAGGAGACCCTATTCCTGACAAATGGTTGTCCAATCTCTTTTTGAAAACTTCTAGTGCTGGAGCACCCACAATTTCTGGAGGAAAGCCTGATTAATTGTTTTCATTGTCAGGAAATTTCTCCTTAGCTCTAGGTTGGATCTCTCTTTAACGATTTTTCACCCATTACTTCTTCTCTTGATCTCACGTGCTTTGGAGAACAGGTCAACTCTCTTTTCTCTGTGATAGGCCTTCAAATATTGGAAGACTGCTATCATGTCATCCCTAGTCCTTCTCTTTGTTAGACTAGTTCTCCCAACCTTTCGTTGTACAGTTTAGCCTCTAGATCCCTTATCATCTTTGTTGCTCTTCTCTGTACTCATTCTAGGGTCTCGGCATCTTTTTTGCGTCATGGGTGGCCTGTACTATACATTTATGGCAATATCATTGTTTTTCCTTTTATATTAACCCACGTGCATTCAACAAAGCTTTCAGCCTTGTTTTTATGCATTTCTGTAGAGGTGTAGTGATTTCTTACCTATAATACAACTCCCACCTCCTCCTCTGAATTTTTTTAACAATTTGTATCCTAGCAGTACATTCCAGTCATAAGTTTCATCCACCAAGTTTTGGTAATTATAACAATATTATATCTTCTCTCTGTAGTAAGACAAATGGTTCACGCTATTTGTTCATATTGTTACCTATTGAAATACATGCATATTGTTGTAAATTGAAAATTGTCTTTAATATGTAAGACTTCTCATAAAACAGATGTTTCTGGCTGTAGTTGAGACTTTATAGTCATTCCATATTTGATGTATAGCATGTTATAAAATAGTTGTCACACTTTTTAAGTTCACTTCGATTCTGAGGGCAAAGAATGGCTGTTCACTATACTGTACATTTGGCACAAGAGTGCCACATTGGTATTTTCAAGGAAAGTAGCTAGTCCCTGTATTGGATGTAGAACTGAAGCTTTTGACAAAAACAAACATAGACAAGGTTAATTGCAACCTCTGAAATATACTGGTGTATTGTCATCTGTTGCTAGTTGAGTTTAGGCCAGAAAGGATTTGAAAACCCATGATTTCTAATCCAAATACCAGCAGCTGTTTGGAAAGTAGCCAACTAAAGAAAAAGGAAAAGCTTTTCTGTATGATAGGATGTCCAGCTTGAATAAAACACACAAATCTGTTTTAAACTCTGTTTTAACAAGTGACAATGTTGCAGGTGATTTTCTTTTTCCTTTTCAAGTTTAATGAAATTGGTGATTGTTAAGTCATCTGCTTTTCAAGCAAATGAGTCTAGAAAGCTCCCGGCTTGAAACTACTGCAGCTGAGCCCCGTCAGCTGTGTAAACATTTCTGAATGTGTTACTCCCAAAAATATAATTAATTTTTATCTGAAATTAGAACCTCCAACTTAATATTTATGAAAATTTAATGTTAGTAATAACAATCTGAACAATTGCCCCTCCTTTGCTATTTATGAAGTCTGTTTCTAAGTCTTAAGTGTTAGTTTCCCCCTTTGGAAAATTCCAGGCTTTTGGAAATAACTTATTTTTAATAAATGTCTCAGTGATGGCTCTACAAGTATATTAATAGTAACTTCTAATAACGAAAGAGTTAAGATAGACTTGATTAGAATACTTTTAATTTACATTTCATACAGCATAAAAGTACTTTGTTATACCACAGTAGGCTTTTTCAGTACAGTTCTCGTTAACCTTTGCCTTAGCAAACAGGCAACTAAATAAACTTCCAATAATTAGATTCTGTGTAATCGAGCCTCCTATGAACCTAATAAGCTTCATTCTTCTACATTAAATTCAGAAATGCATCAAAGTCAAGAGACTTTTTAAAAGCCCTACTGCTCCTCCCTTTGGAATGACAGTACGTTCTTTGTTTGCTATTTTTAGTCTAATAAAATATAGGATACAGATTGAGAAGTGAATAATGACTTAAAAAAAATTTTTTTTTGCACACTTGCACAAAGAAAATCAGTAGGCAAAGTGAGCCAGTAGGGGAATATTTTCATGCTGTGTCAGTTTAACTGTGAGAAACAAGGAGCTTGCAAAATTGTTGAACCATTTTACACTTTCAGAATGGCTTTTTAGTTTCTATAGAATATAAACGTTACTAGCACTGGGAGTGTATATTTGCTTCATTTCATTATAACATAAGCACAATTCCTGATTTCCACTTACTGGTTCCATTTTAACATGTAGTATTTTAGAAGAAATATTTGATATTTGGTGATTCTACTATCTGCATGTTGTCATCATATATGTGGAGATTTATTTAGCTTTTTTTTTACTTAAACCATTATCTTGTGGAACATAATATATCTTATTGTGATGAGATTTAAAATAGCAACACATTTTAAAAATTATTAATACCTTATGGAATAGTTACAAGGAGCAATTTATTGTTTTAAACAGTTAGAAAAACACATATTCCAGAAGGATGTTTTCTTTTGCTCTTTGTCTCAGTTAAATTTCTCAGTTGTAGTTTTTTCTAAATGTAAGAAAAATTTTGGATGCACATTTCTACAGTTAACAAAGTAGTAAATAGTATTTCCTTGTGCTCAATCAAGTGGCATTTATGACATTTAGCATGATTAAGTAATAGTTTACTTTTTGTACACTAATAATGTTAATGTTTATATTAAATAGGTAGGCCTTGCTTTAAAGTCCTATTTTAGCCTACTCCAAATTTAAGGAATATACTCTTTTGCCATACTGGCATTATTTAGAAGTACATATATAAAACAATTTAGTCCCAATTTTAGTTCCATATCAGTAACAACAGACTCGCAGAGAGAAAGAAGGGAGAGGACTTATTTTATTTGTTTATTTGTATTTTGCCTTTATTAATTTTACAAATAACTCAAGGTGATGAATAAATCTAACATACCTTCCCCCTCTCTATTTTCCCCATAACATCAACCCTGTGAGGTGGTTGGACTGAGAAAGAATGACTGGCACAAAGTTACCCAGCTGGCTTTCATGACTAAGGCAGGGTGATCAAGGCCCCTTTTACTGAACTTTCTAGCAGATTGTGGTAATATTCAGACAGCTGGAAACTTATATTTAGAATTGCCCAGTAGCTCCACCATCGTTGTCATTTGCCTTCTTCTTCTTGGAATTTCTTTAGGAGTTAAAATTGTGGCTTTTCCTCTTGTTCCTGTTCCTTCTCCACCTTCAAGAAGTGAAGCAGAGAACAAAAAACAGATGTGCTGCTGAGTACTATCTACCACTAGAATTTATTTATAGGATATTATGGGAAGCCAACTAAAGTTAGCAAAGATTTCAGGATGACAGTGCTTATAGCTTGAAACAAAAATTTGGAATTTTGGAGCAAAGGTTGATTTGATTTTCACTTGACAGTTCAGTAGAAATATTATAGGGTACAGAATATGAAAGTATGATTCTGTTTTTATAATGCTTGCTTTAAATGGAAAGTTAATATAAATCCAGAAGCAAATATAACACTGATCACATTGGATTTCATAGAAAAAAAAATTCTTTAGGGATAAAAAGTAGAAGATAATCCAAATGGTGTCAGTTTGTATATGCAAGCCAAGAGATTGATGTTATTTTTCTAGGAGAATGCATTGTGTGAAATAGAATGCTTTTCTATTGACTATATAAAAAAAAGACTAATGTGTAAGCAACCTTTGGTTTTGGAATAAAAAATGAAATTTGAATTCCAATACTTTTCCTCTAACAAATATCAAATAAAGGGATTAAATTCTTGTAGACCATCTTACCTGTTGTGTATTGATCACTCCTATGCAGTGTTTGAGAATAGCCTAAAAAATGTAGATTAAAAAACTCTTGCCCATTAACTCACACTATCCTGCCTTGGTAGTCCCATCTAATCTACCCTTATCCTGTAGTTATTATTATACTAGAAACATATCAGTCTTCTCTATTTTGGATTACTTACTTAATAACAGTGATACAGTGGTGAAGTTGTTGCACTAGAACTATAGAGATTCTTAAATATGGAAACTTTCTAGGTACTT